CCCACAAGCTATTTTATGAATGAGACATTTGAAATACTCTGCAATAAACACCAAAGATTCCTGTTACCTGATATAATGCTTAACATATCACTAGTTAGTTATACAGTACATTAGTGAGAGTTCAACAAGCCTGATTCATCATGAAGCTTCAAGTATACGGTCAAGCATTTGAAGACACCCATCCATAATTACTTCCACAGTTTTGAATAATATAGTCATCAAATACATGGGAATTAAATAAAACCAAAACTCTTTTGTATTCAACTTATTCAATGAAGCCACCATTTACCTGCATTCTACCAGCTTCATGAGTTGCATCCTGGGATGCTTTGTGAAGTTTCTATGTATGCTGGACACGTACTGGCTGCTTTGCCTTCATTAACCGGCTTTATATTTGTAAACAAATTAACCTTTAGCTCATAAGAAACTTATTTAGTTGACTGGACTATACATGTGCCCATCATGTTTGTTAATGGCCTCTTAAAGTTAAGTTTATCATGTGCCCCCAGCAACCAATATGTATTCTAATTCAGGGGTTCTCAAACAGGGGCCTGGGGCCAACTAGGGGGCCTTAGAAAACTTCAAAGGGGGCCTTATAATCCGAATCAAAATCAGAAAGAGCTTTATTGCCAAGTATGTTTGCACAAACAAGGAACTTGTTCTGGTGACAGAAGCTTCCAGTACACAGAGAAAACAACAACACACAGATAATAAAAAATAAGACATGTGAATAAACTACACACACACACACACACATATTATATATGAAATAGACAAAATTTGTATGTACAGTTGCGGTATATAGGATGAATAAAATGATTTTTTTTTATGTATCAAAATACAGATTATTTGAATACAATTTTTTTTTTAAATCCATATTTTATTTTATTTATATTTAATAACATTTTTAGATTTTTAGAATAGAGTTTCTGTAATACATAGAACTTAAATTAAATATGAAGGATTAATTAAATATAATTTATTTAATTTTATGGGTTAAAAAACTAAAAACAATTATGTATAAAAATAAAAGGAATTATGAGAAATGAATTAAAATGATTGAATTAGATTTTTTTTATGTATTAAAATAATGTAACTGAATTAAATTGCTAAAAATGTACATATTTCAG